GGAAGGGTCACCGGACCCGAAACGTTAACTCTGTTTTCTCCTCCACAGATGCTGCCAGACGTGCTGAGCTTTTCCAGCAACTTTGGTTTTATAACCTTCTTCGCTGTCCACTGTACCACTAATTTTGATGTCATCTGCATACTTAATAACCATGCCTCCTATATTTTCATCCCAATATAAATGACAAACAACAGTGGACCCAGCACTGATCCTTACAGCACACTGGTGGTCACAGGCCTCCAGTCTGAACAACATCCCTCTTACTGCCACTTTCTGTCTCCTATCGCCAAGCCAATTTGGTATCCAATTGGCTAGCTCTTCCTGGATCCCATGTGATCCAATCTTCACTAACCAGTCTGCCGTGCGGAACCTTGTCTAAAGCCTTGCTGAAGTTCATGTAGACAATGTTTACTGCTCTGCCTTCATCTATCTAAAACCAGAAGAACTATGGATACTGGAAACCAGAAACAAAAACTGAAATTTCTGGAACAGCTCAGCAGCTTTGGCAGCCATTCTGAAGAAGGGTCACTGGACACAGAATGTTAACTCTGATTTCTCCCAATAGATGCTGCCAGACCTGCTGAGCTCTTCCAGCAATTTATGCTTTTGTTTATATGTTTTGAGACCTCCAGCACCTCCTCTTCTGTAATGTGGACTCTTTTCAAGACATCACTATTTATTTCTCACAGTTCCCATGCTTCCATTACTTTTTCCACAGTAAATATTGACATGAAATATTAATTTAGGGTCTCATCCATTTCCTGTGGCTCCACAGATAGATGCACTCGTTGATCTTCAAGGGGCCCTATTCTTTCCCTAGTTACTCTTTTGCTCTCAATTTTTTTTAGAATCTCTTTGAATTCTCCTTAACCTTATCTGCTAAAGCTACCTCACGTCCCCTTTTTGTCCTCCTGATTTCCCTATTAAGTGTACTCCTATACCCACTCAAGATATTCACTTAATCCCAGCTGTCTGTACCAAGCACATGCACCATTTTTTTTCTGAACCAGAGCCTCAATATCTATAGTCATCCAATATTCCCTACTCTTATCAACCTTGTGCATCACTCTAACAGGAACATGCTGTCTCTAAACTTTTGTTATCTTGCTTTTGAAAACCTCCCTTTTGCCAGTCATCCCTTTACCTGTGAACAGCTTAGCCAATGAAATTTTGAAAGTTCCTGTCAAATATAGTCAAAATTGGTCTTGTTCCAATTTAGAACTTTAACATTTATGCAAGGTCTATCCTTTTACATAAGTATTTAAAGCTAATAGAATTACGGCCACAGGTCCCAAATTTCTTCTCCGCTGCACCTCAGTCATTTGCCCTGCCTTATTTCCCAAGTGGGTGTTGAGTTTTGCCCCTTCTTCAGTAGGGCCTTCTACATATTGATTGAGAAAGTTTTATTGAACATATTTAACAAATTCTTCCCTTTCCAAGCCCTTAGCATTATTGTTGCATTTGAACGTGGAAAGCTTCAGTATCTGAGGAGTTGCAAATCCTGCTGAATATTGTGCAATCATTGGCGAACATCCCCATTTCTGACCTGATCTTGGAGGGAAGGTCAGTTGAAGGCGGTTGGGCCTAGGACACTACCCTGAGGAACTCCTGCAGACATGCCCTGGAGCTGAGGTGACTGACCGTCAGCAACCAAAGCCATTTTCCTGTGTGCCACTTTTGAGTCCAACCAGCAAAGAGATGCCCCCTGATATGCATTGATTCCAGTTTTGGTAGGGCTGCTTGATGCCACACTTGGTCGAATGTGGCCTAGATTTCAAGGGCAGTCACTCTTCGCTCAGCTCTGGAATTCAGCTCTTTTGTCCATGTTTAAACCAAGCTGTAATGAGGTAAGATGCTCAGTGGCCCTGGCAGAACCCAAACTGGACATCATTGAGCAGGTTATTGCTGAGCAGGTGTTGCTTTTTAGCATTGTTGATGACACCCTCCATCAACTTTACTAATGATTGTGAGTGGAATGATGGGCTGGAAATTGGCTGGGTTGGATTTGTCCTGCTTTTTTGTGTACAGGACATAACTGGGCAATTTTCCACATTGTCGGGGAGACACCAGTGTTGTAACTGTACTGGAACAATTTGGCCATCAATATCACAAGTGAAGAGAAAAAACTCTTACATATGAAAAACTTGTCTCACATATCTCCTTTAAACTTTCCCCCTTTCACGTTAAACCTCTGCCCCATAGGCTGAAGTGGGATAGAAGTGAGAAATGTTACCTGTCTGCCAGTTGCAAATGCGTCTGTCCATGGCAGTATCAGTAAGAGTGACGTCCACACAGTCCTTGTGGAGATGAAGTCCCACCTTCACTTTCAGTATACGCTCCATCATGTGTGCTAATGCTAGGGGACAGAGGGTCAAGCATGAAGGAGGAACTGAAGGGAATCCTTATTAGTCCGGAAATGATATTGGGGAAATTCACGGTATTAAAATCCAATAAGTCCTCAGGGCCTGATGCTCTGTACCCCAGAGTACTTAGCGATGCATTGGTGTGTAATTACTAGCATTATGTATACTCTGGCAGGGTTCCAATGGACTGGAGAGTAGCTACTGTAGCCCACTTTTTAAAAAAGTGAGGAGAGAGAAAACAGGGAATTATAGGCTGGTTAGCCCGACATCTGTTTTGGGGAAAATGCTGGAGTCAATTATTAAGGATGTAATAACATCATGAAAATGGTGACAGAATCAGTCCAAGTCAGCATGGATACTAAAGGGAAATCATGCTTGACAACTCTTCTAGAATTTTTTGAGGATGTGACCAGTAGAATGGACAAGGGTGAGTCAGTGGGTGTTGTTATATGGACTTTCAAAAGGCTTTTGGTGAAGTTCCACACAAGAGATTAGTAAGGAAAATTAAGCTCATGGTACCGGAGATAATGTATTGACATGTGTAGAGAACTGGATGGCAGACAGGAAGTAGAGAGATGGAATAAATGGGTCCTTTTCAGAGTGGCAGGGGTTCAGTGCTGGCACCCCAGCTGTTTACAATATATATTAACAATTTGGACAAAGGAATTGAATGCAATATCTCCAAATTTGCAGAAGTCACTAAGCTGGGTGTGCTGTGAGGAGGATGCTAAGAGGCTGCAGGGTGACTTGGAAAGACTAGCTGAGTGGACAAATACTTAGCAAATGCAATATAATGTGGAAAAACATGAAGTTATCCACTTTGGTCGCAAAAACAGGAAGGCAGATTATTATCAGAATGGTGGCTGTTCAGGAAAAGATGAGGTATAATGACACCTGGATGTCATGTTGGAACAGTTACTAAAGGTTGGCATGCAGGTGCAAGCAGGCAGTGAGGAAAGCTAATGGCATTCTGGCCTTCATAGCGAGAGGATTTGAATTTTACTGCAGTTACACAGGGCCTTGGTGAGACCACACCTTGAGTACTGTGTGCAGTTTTGGTCCCTTAGTCTGAGGAAGGGCATTCTTACTATTGAGAGAGCCCAGCTTTGTTCTACATTCTCCGAAAATTTCATCCGTGCCTTTGTCACCTTCAAACCAGACTATTGAAATGAGCAACCCCTCATAACTTCAGTTTATCTCAAACTGCTGTCCACTTCTTACCCTGCAACAACCCATGGGGCAGCACGGTGGCTCAGTGGTTAGCACTGCTGCCTCACAGCACCAGGGACCTGGGTTCAATTCCACCCTTGGGTAACTGTCTGTGTGGAGTTTGCACGTTCTCCCCATGTCTGCATGGGTTTCCCCCAGGTGCTCCGGTTTCCTCCCACAGTCCAAAAATGTGCAGGCTAGTTGGATTGGCCATGGAAAATTGCCCATAGTGTTGAGGATGTGTAGATTAGGTGGGTTACAGGGAGATGGGTCTGGGTGGGATGTCCTGAGAGTTGGTGTGGACTTGTTGGGCTGAAGGGCCTGTTTCCGCACTGTAGGGATTCTATGATCTATGAAATGAAATTGTCATCATTACATGTTTGCAGGTGTGCTTTGGATCCAAATCCCCAAATGTCTTTAATTTAAAATTCTCACACTTGTGTTTACATCATTTTCATGTTGTTGCCCATCTTCACTCCTATCGTAATCAGCTCCCATCTACTCCAACAAGCATTCCTTCAATTCCATAGGTGTGGGACTGGAAAAGCATAGCTGGTCAGATGGCATCAGAGAAGCATTGACTTTCCTGCCTCTCTGATGCTGTCTGACCTGCTGTGCTTTTCCACCCTCACACCTATAGACTCTGGCTTCCAGCATCTGCAGTCCTAGTTGTGTCCAAGTTCCTGCAAATCCAGTTTGTTGTGTGTCCCCTAGTCTGCACATCTTCACTGAACCATTGTTGACCGTACAATTGGGCATTTAGGCCTCACAATCTGTAAACTGCATCTATCTGAACTCCTCTTAGACAATCCTCAGAACCTTGATCCAAGATTTTGCTTACTTTCTCTGACCCAAAGGTGACTTGTGTTCAACTTTTGTCTGGTCACATTTGTGAAGTGCCTTGGGACATGTTTTCTGCATTTGAGACACTTAATAAGCGCAAGTTGTCATTGCTGTAACATCATTGTGATGCTGCTAGTCTGCCTGAAGGTTCAAAACCCAATCAAGTTGCATAGACTCTAACAGAATATGTGATTTATTTTCCACAGATTCTTCTGAGTTCATATGTTTTCTACACTCATCTTCCTTTTAACTCTTTGGTGACTGTTTCTCCGAGTTCTTCATGATGAGAAAGGCCTAACAACAACCCATCACTCGTTTCTGTGGCTGTTCGGTTGAAGACTTATGTTTTGCTCTGAAGATGTCATTAACTGGGCTAGTCCTACACTGCCCCTCAGTGACTTGCATGGATTTGGCCTATGCTGAAGTTACAGGCATGGCTCATCATACTTTTTTTAAAAGGAACACAAATGGAATTTTGGCATGTTCTTCTCTACAAGGTCTACTGGTGCAGAGCAAAGAAATATCATGTATTCTTGAATTTGTTTATCATTCTCCATTCATGCAGCAGTTCTTTTTTCTTTTGTTTTGTTGCCTTTTTTATTTGTTTGTAATTTCAGTCTGTTGTTAAGGATGTCTGAAGGTCTGGTACCTGAAAGTACAATAACATAATTGCACTCACTGTAAGAGAGTCAGCATGGTAGATGACTGCATGTAATGTAGATCAGTCCAGTGGCACATTGATGCCAAAGTATTTGCTGCAGCAGAATAATAATACTGTTGCTGACACATTTCTAGCCAGAATGCCAGTTTTGCCAAATGCCTGCTTCTTTCCTTCACAATTGTCATTCCTCATATGCGAGATGTCTGTGTACTTTTACATTTATTCATTTTATGAAATTCTTCATGAAATTAACCGACAACTTGAACTGGCAATTTTCTCTGATAACCTGTGGCAGATGTGCAATTCAGCATACCTCTGTCTTATATATAAACCGATTTTAAACCAGGCCAGTCACACTGATAATACAGTGATGTGCTAGTGCTTCATATATCCCCCTATGTTTGTACTGCAACTGTTGACATAGAGAATAAATGCCTGAATTCTTAATTTCCAAACCTGCTAGCACCTCAGAGTGAAATATGTATCGATTTCTGTACAGTTTTGTTGACCTTTCTCTGCCATTCTTTAGTGAATATCAGACTTTTTTTTAAAGAAGGCAATACCTTTGTCTGGTGTATGGAGGAAGAGGGGTTGGGTGGGGTATGGAGGAGTGCAAATTGCCTTTGGTAATATTGTGAATTGTTTGAACAAACTCCAGAGAACATTCTGTTTAACAGGGTGGCTTGCACTCTCCAACATAAGAAAGTGAATATCTTGCTCAGGATTACAATAGCATCTTTTTCTCCCATTCTGCTCACATATGATATCCTAATGTTGCACTGTTTTATAATAATGTTAATTGTGCATGATTTGGTGACTTTTAAAAATCAATTTTCTTTTCAGTATGCAAAACATTGGCTTGACTCAAGAACATACTCTGTGAAGTCTAACTCTAGGGATATTTTATGGAGTTTTAGATATAGTGTTTCAGTGCAAAATCATCAGAACCCAGAATAATTTGATAAGTTTGGACTTTCAGTAATCTATGATGCATTTTTGTAAAGGATAGGGAAACATTAAAGAGCAGTGCAGTACAAATTATGCCAGAATGTCTGACACCAAGATATAAAAGTCGTTTTGAAATAGGATTTGGGTGGAATAATAATTACTTGAATGAATTAGCTGGAAACTGTGGCTTGCTTGCCTTTGGGATACATGGTTAAGACTGATCTGAATGCATCCCAGCATCCCAGTGCTGGTCCTATAAGCTGTATGTAGTCAATGTCATGAAAAGGGATGTGCAAGTTGTCATCCCTTAGTGCTGCAATAGCAAGCCATTAATTGAAATATAATTTATCATTCATATGCAGACAAATCATTTTGTCAGCTACTTAACTGAAAGGTTGTTTTAGCATATTTTTATAATGCATACAGTTTTGTACATGTTCTTCATTCCAGAGTGACTTTGGTTTAGTCCATTCAAGCTTATAGTTTCAAAGTGACTTGAGATTAAAATAAAGGTGTAATTTGCTCTCGCTGACCTCTTGTGTGTTCACTAATTAATCTCATTGATGTGAATGGTGCTTTAGAAACTCATTCAACAACAAAGCTCACTACAAAAAAGCAATTAGAATCTTCCATTGTAACATGTTCAGAAATTGAAAGTAATAGCACTGTGAACCCATTCAGTAGCAGAACAAGTGAACATGAAGACTAGAAAACCATTCCTTCCTGACAATGATGAGCAAAGAGTGTTCAGCAAAAAATTCACTTGACGATGTATGAAGAAGAGAAGTCAGATCTAAAGTGCAGTGGGGTGCAGACGTGCCATTTTAAACCAATATTCTGTTGAGCTGAATCTTACCTGTGTGCAGTTTTGGTTTCCTAGTCTGAGGAAAGACATTCTTGCTGTTGAGGGAGTCCAGCAAAGGTTCAACAGACTGACTTCCAGGATGGCAGGACTGACATATGGGGAAAAACTAGATCGACTGGGCTTGTATTCGCTGGAATTTAGAAGTACGAGGGGCGAGTTTCATAGAAACATATGAAAACCAAATGGGACTGGACAGGCTAAATGCAGGAAGAATGTTCCCAACATTGGGGAAGCCTAGAACAAGTAGTCACAGTCTAAGAATAAGGAGTAAGCCATTCATACTGAGATGAGGAAGAATTTCTTCACTCAGAGTTGAGAAACTGTGGAATTCTTTCTCACAGGAAGCTGTTGGGGCCAGTTCATCAGATATATTCAAGAGGAGCTGGACATGGCCCTTATTGCTAAAGGGATCAAGGGGTATAGAGAGAGGGCAGGAATAGGATACTGAGATTGCATGATCAGCTATGACCGTACTGAATGTTGATACAGGCTCAAAGGGCCGAATGGCCTACTGCACATATTTTCTGTGGTACATTTTTTTTGGCTAAGTGTCATTTTTGTCAAATTTCTCTCCACTAGGTCTAGCTACATTTATTGCCCTATCTTACCAAACACACCTCATTAACTACCTAACCTGCCTGTATAACACACCTTGGATCCAAGTTTAGCTTTCTTCTACCATTTTCCCCAGAACAATTCACTTCTCGCCAGATATCTCCTGATAGAATGATATTCCTGGCACCTACACCATCTTTAAAAGTCTGTTGTGTACCCAGAGAAGCATTAGCATTCCAGAATTGCCCTTTGGCAATCTAATGGCACAGCAGCCACAAAGCCATGCTACTCACGGCACATCACTGTCTTGGCTGATACTCCCTTGCATGTACAGCCATATTTGTCACTATTTAACCACCAAGCTACACTGTTTACTTGTACTAATCTACATCCCATCTAACTGTCCTGTCCAAGTCACTGCTACTTGAATGCCCAGTGTACACCTTCATCTTATCATTATCATTATATTATGTTGGCAAACATTGTGTACAGACAAGGAATCGGGTAATTCAAAGGTGATCGTTATTTGGAACCAGCTGAACTGAATACAAATGGGGGGGTGGGTGCAGGCGGGGTGGTGGGAACCAGACCAGCAGGTCAGCAAGTGGAGGCATTGAGGGCAGATGTTAGATGTTAGAATCAGTAAGTCTGAAAGGAAGGACAGGTAGTGGTAGGTAAATGAACACGATAGGACTGCTGGACTGAAGTGTGTTTATTTCTATGCTAGGAGTATTATAGGTAAGAAAGACAATGGCCCAGTGGTATTATCGCTGGACTGTTAATCCAGAGACCCAGATAATGTTCTGGGGACCTGGATTCAAATCCTGCTGTGGCAGATGGTGGAATTTGAATTCAACAAGTATCTGGAATTAACAATCTAATGATGATCGTGAATGCATTGTTGATTTTTGGAAAAACCCATCTGGTTCACTAATGTCTTGTAGGGAAGGAAACTGCCATCCTTACCTGATCTGGCCTACATGTGACTCCAGACCCACATCAATGTGGTTGACTCTTAACTGCAATAAATGCTGCCTAGCCAGCGATGCCTTCATCCTGTAAATGAATAAGGGAAAAAAAAAAGGGTGAGCTTAAAGCTTGCATCAGTACATGGAACTATGATGTTGTGGCCATCACAGACTTGGATGAGAGAGGGACAAGACTGGCTGCCTAATGTTCCAGGGTTTCATTATTTTAGACGAGATAGAGAGGGAGGTGAAAGAAGTGGAGGTGTTGCATTACTATTCAGACAGAATGTCACATCTGCGTTCACAGAGGCCACACTGGAGGGCTCATCTACTGAGACAATATGGGTACAGCTCAAAAATAGTAATGGTGCAATCATTCTGATGAGATTATACTCTCACCCCACCCCACACCTCCCCCCCTCCCCCCCCACCAAAACCAAAAGCCACCAAGACATCGATGAACAAATATGTAGGCAGGTTATGGAAAGATGCAATAAGAACAGGGTTGTGATAGTGGGTGACTTTAATTTCCCCAGTATTGACTGGGCCTTTTTCAGCGCAAGAGGCTTAGACAAGACAGAATTTGTTAGGTACATTGAAGAGGGTTTATTGAACTGTATGTGGATAGTTAACTAGAGGAGGAGCCATACTGGACCTTGTGTTGGCTAATGAGTGCAGCCAGGTGACTGACCTTCCAGTGGTAGAATGTTTTGGAAACAGGGATCATAACTTCTTAAGTTTCAAGATAGCTATGAATAAAAATAAGTCAGGACCTTGTGGTAAGGTACTAAATTGGAGAAGACAAATTACAACAGCATTAGACAGGAGCCAGGGAGGGTTAATTGGAAGTAGCTGTTATCGGGCAAGTCCACATTTGACATATGGGAGTTCTTTAAAGAACTACTGATCAGAGTTCAGGACCGGTGTGATCTAGTAAAGAGAAAGGACAAGAATGGCAAGGTAAGGACCCTTGGGATACCAAGGGAGGTTGTGAATTTAGTCAAAAGGAGAACAGAAGCACACATAAGGTTTAGGAAGCTAAAATCGGACAGGGCCCATTAGGAATGTAAAGAAAACAGGAAAGAACTCAAGCAGGGAATTAGGAGAGCAAGAAGAGGCCTGAAATGACTTTGGCAAGTAGGGTTAAGGAGAATCCCAAAGCATTCTATGCATACATTAAAAACAAGTGGATAACTAAGGAGAGGGTAGGATCACTCAAGGATAAAGGAAGGAACTTGTGTTTGTAGGCAGAGGATGTGGGCGAGATCCTAAATGAGCACTTTGTGTCGGTATTCACTCAGGAGAAGCACATGGTGGATGGTGAGACTTGTGTGGAGCGTGCTAATATGCTAGGGCATTTTTGAGATCAAGAAAGAAGTGGTAATGGGTATCTTGAAGAGCATTAAGGTGAATAAGTCCGCAGAGCCCGATGGGATCTACTCCAGGTTTTTGAGAGGCACAAGAGAGTAGATTGCTGGGGTCTTGACCAAGATCTTTGTATCCTCGCTAGCCACTGGAGAGGTTCCGGAGAACTGGTGAGTAGCTCATGCTATCCCTCTGTTAAGAAGGGAAATAGGGATAATCCAGGAAACTATCGACCGATGAGTCTCACATCAGTGGTTGGGAAGCTATTGGAGAGAGTTCTTAGGGATAGGATTTACATGCATGTGGAAGGGCATGGCCTAATTAGAGACAGTCAGCATGGCTTTCTGCAGGGCAGATTATGTCTTACCAACTTGATTGAATTTTATGAGAAGGTGACTGAGCTAATCGAAGAGTATAAGTGATGGCAGGACCCTGAACAGCATTGATGTATAGAGGTATCTAGGGGTTCAGGTCCACAGCCCCCTGAAAGTAGCCACACAAGTAGATAGAGTGGTAAAGAGGGCATATGGCATGCTTACCTTTGTTGCTTGGGGCAATGAGTACAAGAATCAGGATGCCATTTTGCAGCTTTATAAGACTTTGGTTAGGCTGTTTAAGAGTATTGCTTTCAATTTTAGTCATCATATTATAGGAAGGATATGGAGGCTTTGGAAATGGTGCAGAAGAGATTTACCAGGATCCTGCCTGGATTATAAGGAGGGCTAGAAAAACCCGGGTTTTTCCTCTGGAGCAGTGGAGGCTGAGAGGAGACTTGATAGAAGTCTATAAAATTATGAGATGCATAGATAGGGTTGACAATCAGAATCTTTTTCCCAGAGTTGAAATGTCTAAGACGAGGGGTAAGAGGGGAAAAATTCAGAGGAGATGTGAGGGGCAAGTTTATTACACAGAGAGTGGGAGATGTCAGGGATGGTGGTGGAGGCAGTTATGATTGGGGCTTTTAGATAAGCACATGAATACGCAAGGAGTGGAGGGATACGAATCAAGTGCAGGTAGAAGGGATTATTTTAATTTGGCATGTGTTTGGCACAACAGTGTGGGCCAAATTACCTGTTCTTGTGTTGTACTATCCTGTGTTCAATGTTCTTAAACACAATGGTTATAGGCTGCAGTTCACCCCAAAATGCGAATAAAATATTGGCAGGAAGACTAATGATTATGTGACGGTTTACGATTGCCTGCTGTTACCAGCTCTCATTTACTCAACAGAGCGTCACTCAAATCCTATCTGGTTTATAGTGCCTGACATAACATACAAAAAGAGCCTTCTGCAGGTCAGTGTCTCCATTGTTCTTAGAAGAATGTGCTGCACGTAAGTCAGGGGGTTGCACAATCATATAATCATCCATTGTTGCAGTGAGTAGTCCTCCAGTAACCAGTCTTTTCAAGCATCTGGATCCTTAAAAGCAGCAGGTAGGGGAGAGTGTTCCAGGATGAAGGAGTCATGGCAGCTGTCAGGTAGCGAGCATACATCAGCCGGAAGTGGAACTCGAAATTGAGATTATCTGGATATTAATTGAATGGAACCCCTTCCTTTGATGAATTGCAGCATTACAGCCCTCTCTGTCTCATATGTGTGCAGTGGATGGCACCCTCTACATGGGGGAAGGCAGGAATATTCCAAAATCTTAGTGTCCAAGCTGCAGCACCAACCAGCATGGAGGAGCAAAATGAACCAATGTGATCCTACAGATGGCGCTGGTCACTATCTATTT